TACACTTGGCAGCAAAACCGAAAGAAGAGGGATTAGGGCATCATGATCCACAAAGGGATATGGGCCCTAACTCATCTTATCCAGAGGCCAACAAATACCACCCGAATGACCTAGGACTATAAAAAGGAGGTAGTAAAGGCGGAAAAGGGACACAACATTTTTAGGCTCTAACAATATACTCCAGACTTCGTCTTCTCTACCATTACTTCAATTCTCAAATTGGGCTGGTTTCTCTCCCTCAATCCACTCTTCTATATTCCTCATATTGTTTTAGTGGTATTTCTCAGATACTTTGATCTCCCTCATTTTGAAAAACACTCCCGTAGTCTCTTTTGCTCTCTACAACAAATATATATTGATCACTAATTCATTGCTTCTCTTTGAGTACTCATTCCTTTCAGGAAACTTCAAGGATTCAAGGGTATTGATCTATTATGTTGGAGAAGCTTTCACACTTTCTAGGTTTGTGTATATATATTTATATGTGTGTCTGAAGAGAACACCTAATGCAATAGCAAAGTTTTACAAATGGACAATGTGGAACTAGCAACATATGATATCTCCAGCTCAAGTGATAAGGTCACTTATCCTTGTTGCCTCATTGTGATACCCCTCGACTTCGAGACATTGGTTGATCAGGCCCAAGCCCAAACTCGAGGGATATCAAACAATTAAAGTATTTAACAAGCATTGAGTACGAAAAGAAATAAGAATAAATAAATAAGCGGAGAGAGAAACTAAATAATAAATCATTAAGTTAATAAATAAATAATCCTCCAAATGAAATATCCAAAACCTCAGATATCATTACAACTCGAGAATCCATCTAGTGGACCCCTAATAATATCCCAACTTAAAAAAATAAATAAAATAAAATAAAAAAATAAAAAATGAACTGAAATCAAATCCAAAACTAAAACATAAAGAAGAGTCCTACGTAGTCGGAAGAGTGAATAACTGTTTCTGCTCGGTATGATTAAGCTCTAAGACTGGAACTGTCAAACACCTGAAAAATAATAATGAGTTTGGCCCACGAATAAGTTCTACTCTACTACAATCTAAACAGAGACCCGATACACGTATACACCCTAGTCAACTCAACAATAGCTAAGTAGTCCATACATATATATACACATTATAAGACGCTCACTGGACTATAGGTTTGCCTCAACCTGAATAGAAGGCAACATGCAAATCTCATATAAAGTGGGCATGAGTACCTAGACCTACCAGGGCACACAGATGTTTACTATATCCAGTTATCTATCGTAGGCAATATACGCACCCTAACCATGATCTTGAAACTCAAACTCATATCATGACATATATATATATATATATATATATATATATATATATTCCATCCTATCTAAAGCATAAAATAAATATCAAGTATGTCATCCAAATTATTTAGTGGCCTGACATAAAAATAAGTAGGATTTAACTTTCTAGCTAATCCTTTCCTTTATAAATCCAAATAGGTAGGACTTAACTTTTATTAGTTAATCTGTCCCTATGATGCCACCATCCCATACTGGTGCATCACATTCATCCAAATGCAATATATGATGTAGGAATGTAATATATCAAATAATTCAGAGATAAGCATATAAAAAATTCACAGATAATTCTTTGCATTTATTTAAGCAAATACAGTAATTTAAATAGCATGTAGTCAACTTACATTCTAAGTAATTAACCTACATCTCTGATAAATTAAATAAAGATTCAAAATCATTATTAAAATTATTTAAACATTAATTTCAATTGTTAAAACAATTAAATTAATCCATACATCCAATTAAACAACTTATAGGTTATTTAACTCCCAATTATCCACATCCTTAGCACATATAGGTATATTATGCATTCTGGGACTTTTCATGTCCATTAATTATTTAATATTTGATTAAAAATAGATTTAAACCAATCTGGACGCTTAAAACTAAAAATCCAAGGTCGCAGCCCAACTGAGCAATCTCGATTACAACTAAGTCGGATCGGTTCCCAACTAAGTTGGCTCGGTTACCAAATGAGTCGGCTCAGTTGCCAACTAAGTCGGCTCCTTCAACAACTGAGTTGGCTCCTTCTCAAAGGAGTTGACTCCTTTACCAATCGAGTCGGCTCGTTCCTATTCTGCTTCATCTTCTTTGTCTGTTCAGCCTTTGTAAATCCTTTAACCTCCATTGTTAAAGGTCCTAAGCTCCTGTCTAAGTCCCATACGCCTTTAATAATTTATATTAGATATTTTAACATGAAAAGATTCAACTTAAACACATAATCATGCATTAAAACCCAATAATCATTCAAAACAAGAACATGAAAATAAAATCATACAACTCTCTGTTTTGATCCGATTAAACATGCATAATTATTTAGTTTTAATTGTTTAAGTAACCTGTAATCTACGAGGCATGTATAGAAATACAGATCAAAGGGTGAGAGTAAGAGAAGAACTTGCCTCTAAGGTTTTTGATTCAAAACCTCAAACTCCTTCTTCTCTAATTTTTCAGCGACGTAGCTGCCGTCAAATCTCTCTCTTGCTTAGTCCTAGCCCACACACAAAGCCTCCTTTCTTCTCTCCTTGGGTTCGGCCTTGAACCCTTGGCCAAAACCTCCTTCTTCTCTCTCACGTTCTCTCTCAAAAACTCTCTGCTTTCTAAATATATGATATATCACATATATATTTTTACAGCCTCCTCCCACAAACTTAAAGTTATTTATATATATAGGCAATATATTTTAACCCTAATCCTAATTTCATTCCAAGTCTAATAAAAGGAAAAGAAAAATAAAATAAATAATACACACACACACACACATATATATATATTTCCTACTTGGTACTCACACACATTGCCTCCACAGAGGTTCGAACTTCTGACATCTCTTTGGGAAGTAGGGGTCTTGTACCGCTAGGCCACAAGCCTATTGATTTAATACATGGGTAATAACCCGTACCCACCAATACTCTTATCTAAATTGTCCATGTGACCCAATGGTTGGTCCATAACTACTATCCAAATCTAACTCCCTTATATATAAAATATAAAATAAAACATTTTAATTTAACAATTAATTACACAAAATACACATCATCATATAAGCAAACAAAGCAAACAAATCTGTTAAATCATTTAAATTTAAATTAATCAAATAAGTGTACAATTTACATTTAAACACTTAATTAAATTAAACAAATAAACAAATAGCCAATTAATCAATTAAATAATTTAAAAATACAAATAAAACAAATAAATAAATATCGAGACTATCCTTTTAAAATTAGGGATATTACACTCATGAAGCATCAGGTCTGAGGTTCGAATCTCACTGGGTACAGATAATTTCCTTGGGGTCATGCCTCTGTGGTCCATACTCTATGACTTACCCTGGCCACACGGTAGGGAGGCGCCCTTCACGGGTCCTTGGCGATTTGTTGGGGTGAAATCCTGGATAGTACCCCGGTTAATTGTGTGTGTGTGTATTTCATTCTGAATAGCTTGAATTGAGAAAAGTTGACTAGCCAATACTTTGTTCTGTTACTGAGTATTAATAAATTTATTCATAGTGGAAAAGAAAATTTTGCACAAATATAAATTCATCTTCTTCTGCCAAAAAGGCCATATCGTTGAAGCTTGAAGCAGCAATATTATGATCAACTTGCTGGTATTGGAGTTGTTGATAATGATCACTTTGTGCATGAACACTACTACTATTAGGAAGGCAATCTCTGCTTGGGCTCTGGCTATTTGTTGATCAAATGCAGAGATTATTCCCGCACAGCCATAAACTGGATCTCGAATCCTGCATTGTGCCTCATAGCATAAGGAATCTGCAGCGTCTGCTCGGAGATGAACTGGGAGTTCCTAATCATCATCAACCAAATTAAAGCAAATCAAACCCAAGATTCAAATGTCATTCATCTAAGAAGCATGCAAATATACATATATATAAATATAAATATATAGACAAAATTTAATTACTTATAACATATATATATATATATATATATATAGGATGTAATCAAGATTTTTCATTTCCAAAAGAACCATCTTTAATGGGTATGTGTTGGATTTGAGAAAATATCATTTAAATGATCATATGAAAAAGTAATACATACATATATATATATATATATATATATATATATATATATATATATATATATATATATACATGCACTAAATTCAAGTTTGTAAACAATGCTAGATTCAATCTTTATTTTATTAGTATATTCAAATCTTACACATCATAAATATCTTCTTCTTTATTTGAATATTTTCTTTTTTTTTTTTCTTTTCTTACTTCTTTTTTTGAATATTTTCTTTTCTATGCATTATGCAATAATACTCTTTCCTCATTAAGTAATTAATTACAATTTTTACAAGTTGTCATGTCCACAAATATGAACTATGGTACCATCTTAAACATATGAGAGTAAAAAAGGCATGTTAATATTTGAAAGTTCTTATTATAATTCCATTTTCATAATAAATTTAGTGTTGATATCTTCTTCTTTATTTGTGTGAAATTAAAATGCTGGGATCACAAAGAAAAATGAGCTTTTATAACCTGCACACATTTAAATTTCATATTTATGACTAATATAGGTGGTGATAAATAGTTTTCAATCCTGGAATTGAAGAAAACACAATCAAATTAAATAGTCATGTTTCTTCTAGTATTGCTAAACCAGGGTTCGAAAACAGAAGAACATGTAACACTACAAAAATCTACAGACCATATGAAAGATAATGATTTTCAAAACCTTGGTTGAAATTGTTTACATGCCATTAAATAAGTTATAAGTTTCTTATTGAAAGTTTTCGCAATGATGTTCCAATGTGAAGTCGTTGTCCAAATCACATAAAGCTGATCAAGCCATTTTGGAACATATAAATTTCTGAAGATCCAAGTTCTATATTCTATGCTGTTAATAACTTAAAATCTAAACTCCACTAATTAGGTAAACTAGGCATTCCGATCCATGGCAGGGACTAGAATCCTCCGAGGTTATCACTTCCTCCGAAAGCATCAGGGCTGAACATGGACTGAATGAATATCTCATCATCAAGCTGCAACCAAAAAAAAAAAAAAAAAAAAGAAAGAATAAATAAATAAAATCAATACCTCATAAAACGCCTAGATTTTGAAATTTTCAAGTGAAGTAAGTAATTTGGCCTCTAGACAAAGAGATTGAAAAAACTAAAATGAGACATACCTGTCTTGGAGATACATTGTTCCACAAAACAGTGTTATAAGACTGATAATTTCCATGATCCTCGTAGTCCACAAGCTCTTCAAGACCTTGCTGCTGTACAAATCAGAAATTCACATTAAATTGTAGTTAGAATGTGCATCGACTTCGGCACATAATCACAATGTGTGGTTTCCTTTTCCAACAACTTCGAAATGGACCTTATTAACATTGTTAAAAAAGCAATCACTATTACAACATATTGTGCTATGTTAAACACAAAAAATGAGCATTACAAGTTAAAAAAAAAAAGGGAGCATGGTAAAATACAGATTAAACTACCACACATTTTATATAGAAAAAAGTTCTGTACAAACACTAAGATCAAAGAAGAGCTAGTGAAGTTAATTATTTATCTACTTAATTATGTAGGGAAGGCTTAATCAGATAAAGATCGTAGACTTACCTGTTTGGGGTTTTGATCAAGCCATGGAAAGTACTCATTGGACTGATATCCATCGATACTAAAGCTGGAGTCCAAATCTTCTCCACCAACAAATTGCTGCATGCATACATGGCCACAAAATTAAGGATTGAAATACTTGGCACCACCAATATTTGATTCGGAACTCAGTAATTGTTTGGAAAGAATTACAAAATTTTTATCAGTCTAACAAAAAATAACAAGAATAAGTTATGAAACATCAATCATCATTTCGCTGTTTTATCATCATTCATACATTCAGCAGCAAATCTCGTGATCAACTTGAAGTACTTTAACACCACCCATATTCATTCGAAACTCAGTAATTGTATAGAATGAATTATAAAATCAGCATGCATGGAGAAAATTTTAATAAAGGAAATAAGGTAAAAAGATCGAAGAAGTAGTTTTACAATGGGTTAAGTAGTGGTACAAATAATTTCAAACAAAAAATAACAAGAACAAGTTACGAAACATCAATCCTCATTTCGCTGTTTTAAACATCATCCCCCCATCGAGCAGCAAATCTTGTGATATACTGAAGTTTTTGAAAATAAGTTAAAATAAGGTTAGCATATATGAATCTGTTCTTTTCCTGATGTGCAAACAATTGACACATTTCTTTAGTGGTTGCACTTAATCCTTTCAAATGCTTTACAAGTGGGAAATTATATACGATGACACGGATATGCATTTATGTACATATAAAAAGAAAATGAAGCATGAAATAGAGTAATTAAGCGCAAAACATGCCTGTTCAAGAGCTCGATGATTTCCTAGTAATGGGTTATCTTCAATATCATGCGTACCAAAAGTGAAGCTAGAATTTGTGATTTCTTCTCCTCCTTGCTGCTACACACATCAAAACCAACAGTGATGCTAAAATTATTGTACGAGGAAAGAGAATTAAACTTAACATAAATTAAAGATTTGCTCAGTAGGATTAGTACAATTATTTTTCTTACCAGATTCAAGAAAGTGCTGCTAAAGTCAGCTTCAACATGTGAGAGAAAGTTATCAAGTGTAGTTGAAGAATTATTCATTAGACCAGCTATATAATCGTCATTTACACCTTCGTTGGCAGGGATGTTCTGTTGCAGCATGGTTGGAGGCATCTCTGGCACTAAAACATTTTCTTGTGGATCAATAGCATCAGTCAATGTTGGTGAAAATCGGTTTGAACACTTTATCCCAGATGAAGAAGACATTTCCTGGAGCAAATAACCAGTAGTATTGTCACTCACATTGGTCACATTGCCATTCTGAATCCCATTCATCAAGCTATAGTTAGTGATAGAACCCTTTGATGCACCATCACTCAAATTAGCCATATGAGCCGAGCCAACTAGCTGCCCATCTCTAGCAATCCGATATCCAGCATAATTATTGTTTGAGTATTTGGGGATTGGATTCAAATTAGAATTGCTTAAATTTCGCATTTGTCCACAATCTGTAACGTTGTTGGGGCCAAGAACTCCAAATGTGGTAGGATTGTACTTAGATAGACCATTGAAACTCTCTGGTAGAGATTTTGGGTGGCGCATAGAATTTGTACCATTCATGAGGCCAATTGAAATGCCTCCACATAATGAAGAACCTCTTCGAAAATCATTTGGCTCCATTGTCAAGCTGGAGCAATTCGGCTGATAAAGATCTTCATTTCCAATCACTGGTTGCTCCAAATTAGTAACTTTATCGCATAATAAGCGCGATTGTCCATATCTTGGTGGAGGGATAAAGTTGCTGCTTGATGCTTCTTTATTAGGAAAAGATAAATGGCCAATGTCAGAAGCTTTAACAACCGGGACATGCTTCGTGAATCTTTGTTGGAATGGTGTCCTCATTTGCTGGTGTTCTGGATATAGAAGATATCCTTGTCCCAATTTATTCCTCTTCAACCAAGGCTGTCCCGGCACAAAAGAAGGTTCTAAGGTCCTGTCAGCCAATCTCCTTTCAGCAGCAGATTGAATGTTATAGCTTGCATCTGAAACTTGTTTTAAGAAGATTCGATACTTCTGCAGCATTTCATGTATAACATTGTCAAGGACTAATGATTTGGAAAAGCATCACTCGAAATTATTTCATAAAAAAGTGCCCCTATGTAGTATTACATATATATGTATGAATAATTTTCCATTTTATGTTCATATAAGGTCAGTTGTATTGGATTACTACGTCTTATTTTTCATTGAGAGAAGATATATGAAGTTATGGAACAGAAATGCAGTTCATGCCATCAGCAGTACAAGCATGTTTACAACATTAGAGTGCTAGTTGGAATAGTTTGCAGATTGATGTTGTTTCCATGTAGCACAATTTCTTTTTAAGTGTGGATTCTATATTATTCTTTAACCTTTTTATTCTTTATTGAAAACAAGGTGTGTTGCTATACATTTAAGAGACGACTAACTTGTGAGAGCTAGTTTGATATACAACTTATAATATTGCATGAATCAATCACAAACAATAAATAAAAACACAAACCTGCAAATGGCTGGCTATATTTTCTCTAGTTAAACCTGGCACATTCATGTGCTCAAGAATCTTCTTCGGAACAGCCCCTGGATGAAATTTATATAAAGGCAAAAATTAAAAATATCATTACTAAGTAGAACACAAAGTAGTATATATGTGTGTGCGCGCGTGTAATTAAGAAGATTGAAAAGAATAATATCCATATTAGCAAGGTTTAACTTACTTTCAAGCCCTATACTTCTAATGGCTTCCAAAAACTGGTTGTGGAGTGCATTCGTCCAAACAACCTTTGCTTTCTTCGGTGCTGCAGAATCATCGTTCTCTTGATCTCCTCCTTTTTCATCGCTATACTTTCTCGGTACTTTTTTCCTTGAATCCTTCTTATCATGACTATCCTCATTTACTGATGATGCAGAGTATATATCCTCATTGGAAGCTTTGTCGTGATCAAATCCGGATGTTCCTTGAACACTTCTAATTTTCTTGATAGCGGCTTTACCTTTCTTGTTTGCAACTGCATATTGCCACAAATTTTTTAGATCATCCGGGGATATTGGCTTCACTAAGAAAAATGCAGCCCCATTCTCTAATCCCTTTAGTATAACACCCTCTTTGTCATCAGCTGACATTACTGCATCAGAATGATGAAGCAAATTTATCAGAAACAAGCAATACAATGATATATTTCAAGAACAACCCTCAATTTCATTAGCTGCATTCACATTGTTATGCATTATATGTAAAATTTTCTCATTATGGCAATGCTGAGTGAGGTGAGCAATGCAAGGTACTAAAAATCTTTACATAAAAAATCATTCAAGAATAGAAAAATATAGCTTTTAATTCCTCATACAGCTAAAGAAAAGATGGAAAAGTAATAATAAAACAAAAATAAAACTGTTTGGTATAAAAAAATAAATAAATCTGCTAAGATGTTGTTTATGGACATTCTCTAGAGGATTTATAGCAATGGAAGTATTGTATGAAGTGAATTTAAAGTCTCGGTATGAATTCCACGAAAAATTTATTGGGAAGTAGTAAAAACGAAATTTAGTATAAAATGACACTCACAAACAACAGGTAAGTTGAATTCTTCATCAATTTGTTTCTGTAACTCAAATCCATTCATATCCGGCATATGCACATCTGTTACGACAAGATCAAATGAGTCCCCTTTGATCCGAAGAGTACACAAAGCATCGGCTGCATGTTTGACTGTCACAACTGAGATTTAGAGGAAGAAAACCATTGAGTAAGAAACAATCTGTGATCAAAGTAAATCATGAAGGAATTCTCATCAAATTATACATACAGAAGTTTATATGCAAAAGGGTACTAAGATTTGGCATGAATTCTCCATGGAAGATCATTAATCAGATCAATTGAAAAGAAGTGTAGGGTATAGATAATCAGTGTTCAATTATATATATATATAAATCATTCTATTTCCCATATAAAGAATGTTCAATTGCATTCCTCTCAAATTATTCTTACCTAATTAATCATATTTGTTAATAAAATTGTATACAAATTTAGCAAGTGTAGAACATATAACATTCAAGCTATGCCATTAGAGCATATCTTATGAGGACTGTCATAGGTTAGAGTAATAAATTGGAAGGTTTCATTTTATTACAATAGTTGAATTAAGAAACAAAATAACATATTAGTACATGTTAACAAATCTATATGACAAAATGATTCAAATGAAGAAATAGTGCAAACTAGAGATGAAAGATATATGTGAGAGAGAACAAATCCTCAAAGTGAAGAATTCAATCCACAAAAGGAAGGGTGGAAACCTTCAAAAAGATTAGCCATGCATTAAGAAAAACATTAAAATAAATAAATAAAAACTCTTAAATTAATTGGCCAACGGAAAAGGGAAGAGGTAGATCAAGGTTCTATATATATCTTCAAAAACCAACCATAAACATGCAAAGCCTTGTGGAATGACACCCACCCACCCACCCACCCACCCACACACACACAGGAGAAAAAGAAGAAGAGGAAAAAAAATAAAAAATCTCAAATCAAAATAAAGAGAGATCCATGCATAGAACATGGCCTTGACAAAAGAACCACCATTTTTTTTAATTAATTTTTAATTATTATCAATTATACCTTCATATTTCCATGTTTTAAGTATTGCAGCAACAATGGCAAGACATGTACTGTCGTCGTCCACGACCAAAATGGTGATCTTTTCCACAGAGGGTTTAGTCTTGGAAGATCGGCTCATCGTACTTATCTCACGATTCATGCTTAATTAGCTAGATGTTGAAGATTACACTACAAAGCAAGAAATGATGAGGACGAGTTCTAGTTAACTGTGGAGACGAAGATGATCAATGGCGAAGAAAGATATAATTAAGAGGAGCTCTGGTCAACAACTGTATAAACATTAGGAAGAAAACACAGTCTGTACTGTCTCAACACTCTAGCGATAGAGATAGAGAAAGAGAAGGCTCTATGATTGTAAACCAGAGTTTGGTTTTACAGAAAACTGCTTACAAGTCGAAAGTGTGTAAAAGACAGCAAGTGTACACTCACACTGAATATTTGAACTAATTAATGTTGTATATCTAAGAAAGAAATTTAACATTTAAAGAAAAATACAAAATAATAAGAAGGTTCGATGGTCCATACGTGGAATTCTTTATTACAAAGATTGTATGATGAATCATATCTTTTAATTTAATGCTTATACATTTTTGAGTTTTCAACTTTCTATATTGAGATTTTTTAAAACTAAATATTGGTAAACATAATTTAAATTATTTTAAATAATTAATGTAATTAAGAGAGATCTATGGTCATAAGAGTTGTTCTCTACATTTAACCACTTGTTAAAATATTTATTAAATGATTCGTTTGACTTTTTACAAATTTTAAAAAATTATCTACATTCAGTGATTAATTATGAAGAAGTGATAATTCTTGTTGTGAGGGAGTCATCTTAATAGCATTACTCAATTATTTTTCTAATTTTTGCTTATAAATAAAATGACCTATTGCAAGTGGAGAGAGCCATCAATTAATTATTAATATTAGTTTATATTACTAATTGAAATATATATTTTCTTGTCTTGTTTTTTATAATAAAAATAAATACGAATCGTAATTTCACGACATCATACCTAATTCCGTACAGCGGCTACGATCACAAAAGAATGTATAGTAAAACATTGTATTCTTAAATATAGCAATACTTTGAAGTATCACAAATTATTTTGACCATTATACCTCCTTGACAAATGTTGGTGATAAAAGATTATGGCGTAAAATTCATTTTTCTTATTCAAATCACTCTTCAGTGGAATAAATTGAAAAAGACAAAGGAAAAAAAAAATATATAGGAACAAGAAAAATGAGATTATGTGGAATTTTTCATCAAAATTTGGTACAATAATGGCCATAGAGGATAAAGAAGGGAACTAAACAACATAAAATGTATAATTTCATACTCCTATATCTTTAAAATTCAAGCAAACAATGGATGGTTCAAATCTAAGCCCTAGTTATATGTCTCCATTTGGGTTCCAGTGGGGAGAAATGGGTAACAATCTCATGACCAAGAGTACAATAGAACACCCATGAAACTTAATTCTAGGGACATGTGTCATGTTCCTCCTTAACATATACCTCCTTGGTCTCAAAAAAAAAAAAAATTCCATCCACTTTTTTATTTTTACTTGTTCCAAAATAAGTGTCTATTTAAAAAGTCGTTATATTATTATTATTTACTTTTTTGTAACATTACCACTTTAATCTTCTTGCATAATAAAAAGTAAACATCACGTAATTTAGATTTTATTAAAAACAAATTTAAATATTCATTCACTAATAATACAATAAAAAATATTAAAAACCATCTTCTTAAAAAGTTAAGTCCTAAGACTATTTTTTTTTTTTTATTTGGACAGAGGGGAAGTATTGTTTTTCAGACCACGGTAAAATCGGTTGTGTTAGTAATAAATGTGTGGTTATCCCATTCTAACCAAAGCAGTTAATATAATTCTGAACAAATTAAGACATAATTAATTGTAAAGACAAGGTTCTTCAAATGTCAGCCCCATCAAAAGTCATTAATCACACCCAAACCTATTTGTTGAACCATTGTAATTTGATGGCCCATTGTTTTCCCAAAACCATCCAAAGATATAATTTTTTTAGGACAAAAATATCCCCACCAAACTTCTATTTGGGTTGACATTAAAATGTGGAGGTCTAAACACCATGGAAATATCGCTCGTATCACTGGGGGTGAATGGACATTATCCATAACGCACTGTTTAATTTCATCTGTGAAAAAAGATAAAGAGTTAATATAGATGTCAAACCTACGATTATTTTATCTAATAGATAAAGTTGGTTAGAAATCACAGTTGTGATAAAACAGTTTCTTTAAAAAATTGGATTTTCACAAGATACCATATTTAAACTTAGAGAAAATTATATTTCAGGAACCAAAATTAAAGATAATAGCAATAAAGTGATATATTTTGAATTTATAAACAGATAAATAGTGATCAATCTTGGAACAAAATTGTTCTTGATCAGTGACCATTTGAGGGTTAGTTAAAAATGAAAATTCAAGTTCAAACCAGAAAGCAATATAGTTATTCTTCGGAAATTCAAGTTATTCAAACCAGAAAGACAATTTGAGTTATTTGATATAGTTATTCAAACTAGAAGGACAAATTCCTATTGTTGTGGAGAAAATCAACACGATCCGGAACAACAGTGTTTCCTACGTTACAACAAGGATGACGTTACTTCAAGCGGCACTGGTGTGGTGCCGGTCGTCAATGCTCCAACGGTCAAGTCAATGATCAAAAGGAGTTTCCAAGTGTTGTATATAATGCGCACAGTATTTTAGGTACCTTATCAATTGTCAGACGTCGTCAATGATCGCAAGGAGTTTCAAAGAGTTGTATTTAATGTATTAGGTACCATATCAGTTGTCACATCGTATTTATTGTTATACTCGTGATCTGGGTTGATCACGGAGATAAGTTTCCTAACCTCGGGTTTATCCCCAACGACCACTCTCAAGATAGGATGATTATCTGTCCAACTAACGAACTGAAGACATCGTCTCTATCTTCTTACCTGAAAATTGAAATTTAAAATGGACGCCTTCCTTATTTAGGTTAATCAAGGTCAACGCATAAATAATTTTCCATATCAGTTGGCCCCTGTTTCAGAGTTCGGGGCATGCATGGTAAATATCATAAAATCTCAATCAACCTTACTTTTCTTTTTCTTTCATTTTATTATTATTAAAAATTTTACTCCCAAAGGATGTACCTCGGGAATCATAGTTGATGATGAATAGAGTATAGCAATCTATAATGCGCCTTAAGCAAAAATGGCTAACAGTACATAATTACCTCAAGAGAGCAAATAACCAAGAATAGCCAATTGAGAATGATCACCTAGTAGGTGTGAGTTGTGTAACAGAATAGGTTTGAGTTTTTAAAACTGTTTTGAGAGAGAAATAATCACGTATTTCTTTATCCAATATACTCTACTAAAATTATCGATTATTCAAACAATCACAAATTGAAAGCAAGTAAAGTTTAAAGTAACACCGAATTTTAACGAGGAAGCCAATTGGAAAACCTTGAGGTTTTGTGTGCTATCCCAAAAGTAAAAAAATTCAATATGTATGAAATAAAGTACACCAAACTTTAACTCAAACTCAAACCCCTTCGCTCTACCAAGATTCAATCCGCTGAACGTCCCTGACTTTACAACTTCCTCTCGACTTCAGACTTATGCCTCGAACCTTGTAGAAGGATTGCTGGTAGATCAACAACACTCTACAAGCGCCTTGATCCCTTCAAAGTGTGATATGAAATTGAATATAACTTTAATGTAGATGAAATAAGATTTGTTTTCTCCGATCATTGTAGATGCAATCTTTAATTGACTTAAACACGATCAGGATATGAACAACACCATAAATTCACTCGTGTGTATATAGTGTGTATGTTCTTAAAAATCTCACCAAAAAGGCTTTTAATGAAAATCTGAATTTTAATACAAAAAGCCACACCAACCTAGATGAGAAAATATGTTTATATGGACTTTCAAAACCCTAATGTCACTTAGAAACCAAGTTAATTCCATGTATGAATTCCTTTAGAAGAAAGTCAATCCAAAATAGGAAGTTAAAACAGAGTTGGAAACAAGTTACCTAAAATTGCTGAAATACTTGAACTGGTTCAGCTACCTTGAACCGGTTCAGCTACCTTGAATGGCCAATGTATTTTTTTAAAAATCAAATCTTTACATCTTGAATTGGTTCAACTATCTTGAACCGATTCAAGTTGGCCAAACCTGAACTAAAGATATGAACACTTAGAAAAATTACGGCAATGCTCATTTTTTAAAAACATACAATGTATGCAAGTGTCCTAACTTTCTAACTCAACTTCCTAAGGGGTTGTTCTTACCTTTTCGTAGTCTTCAAGCTATCGAACACGAAAAACTCTTCAATTCCATTTTCGATCTCAAACTTGAATTTTGAACTCATAATTACAACTCGATCGGACTCATTTTGACAGCGAAATTAGCCAATCACAAAATATATATCTCACAATCTCCCCCTTTAGCAATTTCATGAAAAAAATCCTAAAAACAAATACATAACCTACCCAAGCAGAAAAGGAAGATTACAATTTGTCAAAAAACAAAACGGAAGTTTGCTTTCTTGAATTTCTTCTTTTGATCATCACTTGTTTAAATTTTCACCTTATTTTCTGCACAATAACCAAGCAAAAACTACAGTGAAAGCTTAATATAGAAGTCAACTAAGACAACCAAAAATCTCCCCCTTTGTAGTTAAACTCCCCCTAAATGTATCAACATAGTTCTCCCCCTTTTTGGAATAAATTGATAAATATAGAGAAGAGGAAAGATCAACGTAAGAAAGTAAAACATAGAAAAGAAGTTCAAGCATATATGACTATGTCAGTTGAAACTACGATGCATATGAGTATTTTATGAACATGTAAGCACAAGTCATGAACAAAAGAATAAACCAAAATATCTTTAAAAAAACTGATAGTCATCTCAAACAAAAATAACATCAATCATCCAAGTCATCTCCATCAAAAGGGACTGTGGTGGTCACCACATCATCACCATCATCTCCATCATCAGAACCATCAACCTCACTATCATCATCTCTTTCTGAAGTCTCTGGAGGTAGGGAGGGGTCTATAAACGTCC